TCATTTCACTTCACTTCACTTCACTTCACTTCACTTCACTTCACTTCACTTCACTTCACTTTTTTAATTTTACTTTTTAAATTTTATTTATTTATTTTATATCAGCTGGAAGCTGGAAGCTCTTTGGAAGGAGTTATATTGACATATTAGTAAGGACTGTGTGTTTTATATTTTTAACTTGAAAGAATAAGCTTCTGCAAAGCCAGTGAATTTGGGGTTAATTTTATTGTGAACGGTTTGTTCAGTAGTATATTCAATGAATTTCATGAGTAGTAAAATATGAATATTTTTCTTCTAGGCCTTTTGAGCGGACTATTACCATGCACAAGGACAGTACAGGACATGTTGGCTTTATTTTCAAAAATGGAAAAATAACTTCAATAGTAAAGGATAGTTCTGCTGCAAGAAATGGACTTCTTACTGAACACAACATCTGTGAAATTAATGGGCAGAATGTAATTGGCCTGAAGGTGAATGATGTGTTTTTTGCAAATAACTGGTTCAAAAATGAACTCTATTTTGTCAGTTAAACTGACAAAAAAAAAATCAATTTGTAAGCATATCAGTAATATCCACGGCTTTCTGTTTTAAAACAAAACAATAGCAGCCACTATATTTTTGTTCTTGCAGTGACCTGGGTTTCTGCCTTTAGTAGAGATTATTACCAACTACAGCCTTATTTTAGTTAGCTTTTCTATCTTCAGGTTCTTTTCCATAGAAGTGCTCCCATATAGCTTCAGCAGTCTGTTCAGGTTGCCCAACAGACTATTTTAGTTGTTTTCAGAGCTACTAGTCAATCAGTCTTCTCTTCTAAAGAGCTGCTGGCTTTTCTTGCTAGTAAAAAAAAATAAATAACCACTCACATATTCACTTGCTGAATTGTAGCTGTATGCATGACTTTCTCTGTTGCTGTTAGTCTCTTTGCTAGCTTTGAAGATCTAGTAACATGTAAGGATAGCAGTCATCTCTCAAATAATCAGACACTATTTTTTGCCTGTGGTTATATTTTATTTAAACTATTGCAAGTTACCCTTGCAATAGTTAGACTAAAACAAAATTTAATTTAACAAAATTAAAACCACTGTGGTTATCAAAACTTTTCAAAACAACTTCAAAGCTTATTAGAATTTATGACTTTTTATATCTTGTTTAACAGGATTCCCAGATTGCAGACATATTATCAACAGCTGGAAATATAGTGACCATTACTATCATGCCTTCCCAAATCTTTGAACACATAATAAAGAGGTATGTGTAAAAAAAAATTAAAATGTGTATAGTATGGGCTCTTTATCTTTTGAAAGGATGGATAACGTGCAGTTACAATAAAATACAGATAGTCTTCATTTACTGACCATGTGTTTAGTGGCTGTTTAAAGTTACAGTGGAGCTGAAAAGATAACTTTATGGCTAATTTATGACCTTTGCCTGTCCCTCAGTCACGTGACCACCATTACAGTCAGTACGTGTTGTCCTGTGCCTGACATGTGATTTTTCCTTTTTTCCCCACCTTGCAGAGCAGAGAGATTGGAGAGGAAGGGATTGCAAGAAAGTAAGCTGTTTGCTCTTCTACACACTGAAAGTAATGCAGTCGTGCAGGCAGTTGAAATCCCTTCCTCTTCAATCTCCCTGCTCTGTGAGGGGGGGAAGCAAGTGATTTCTTTTTTTTTTAGTAGTAATTTTATTAAAAATTACAATTAAAAAGATAAAAACTAACAAACTAAAAAAATATATACTGGTAGTCCTCGCTTAATGACCATTGGTTTAATGATGGTCCAGTGTTACGATAGCCTTGGAAAAAATGCTTTACAAGCCCCACGGTCACAAGATCATGATTTGCGACCCTTTTTAGGATGGTTGTTAAGCAAATCACCATGATCATTAAGCAAATTCTGGCAAAAAATGTCCATTGGGGAAGCTGGATTTGCTTAACCATGTGATTCGCTTAACAACCATTGTAAAGAAAGGTTGTACAATCAGCTCCAATTTGCTTAAGAACCAAATCCCTTAGCGACCTAAATTCCAGTCTGTATTGTGGTCGGATAGTGAGGGCTACTTGTAAAAGAATAAGAAGAGAAAATAGAAAGTGTAAAAAAGAAAAAAATAGAAAAGAGAGAAAAAATAAGAATATAGTGAAGAAAAAGAAAAGAAATATGTAAAGAAATGACTTCCCCGTCATCACAAGTAGAAACAGTTTTATACTTTTAACAATCTTGATCTTTATTCCCTTCAAATAATGTCCTAGAACTTGATTTGTTTTCATTCTTTCTTTCACACAAAATTCTTCAAAGCTTTAACAAGCCTCTTTTGTAAATTCAATATAGGAAAGTTATCCAGGTCACTATTTTAGTTTGTTATTTGTATATCCCTTTTAATTGTTAAGATAACCACTGGTTTCATTTGCATGCCCAGTGTAGCATCTTTTTCCATATCATTCTTGTAGCCTGTAATTTTCAAATCCACTTTCAGATCAGTCTCAGTCTTGCCTGGTAAAACTTCTTCCTCTTGCATAAATCTTTTTATCTATAGAGGCAGACACTTAAAATTAACTTCTGGGGCCCATTGTTCAAAAGTATCCTTCAGAAAAGAGAGAAAAAATAAGAATATAGTGAAAAGAGAGAAAAAATAAGAATATAGTGAAAAGAGAGAAAAAATAAGAATATAGTGAAAAGAGAGAAAAAATAAGAATATAGTTATTAGTAAGTCAAATTTAAGTGTTCTTCTCCTTTAATTGTAATCTTTAATTCCTTCTAGTTCCCTCTAATGTCCATCCTTCAAAGTCTCATCCTATCATGTTTTATTTTTTTAAGATAATTCAAAACAAAAGCATTTTTCCACAGGAAGGAAATAATTAATTCTAAAATCTTACTTCAAATCCATCTGGACCCTTAGTCCGTTTGCAACTTTCTAGAATCAAAGTTCTAATCACACTTTCGCTGTTTATTCCAAAAGAATTTTTTTTAAGTCCTTAAACTTGTATTAAAAACTTCTTTCATTAAGGATTGAAGGATACTCACCCAGTGCTGTAAAACTTGTTGATCCAAAGGTTCCTAATAGCTGAAAAACAGTTAACGAGCAGTATCAAAAAGTGATTAGAAAAGGAAGTATGTGAACCCAGTGTCCTTTTTGAAGGCATTGACCCTCATCTCCCAGAGCTCTAAACCTGCCGGCCTGCTATCTTGTGGTTTTCTTGCAAGGAGCAACTTACGGAGCACTTCTGGGCAATCTCCTTGTCCAGAGAGGAATTATGAAGAGCCGGTCTACTCGCTGGCTCTTCATTCTGCTGCAGTCATCGGCTCTGTTTTTAGCAGAGCCTTCTTCAGTTCACAATTTCTTCCCCAGAAGTCTGGAAAGCGATTTCTGTAGGCAACCTCTCCTGTGCCTGACCCTTTCCTACTACCAGCACAGTTCCATTGCTTTCGATGTGTAGAAGAGCAAACAGCTTACCCTCTTGAAATCCCTTCCTCTCTACAGTGGACGAATGGATCATAAAATTAATGCAATTGGCTCAAATGGCGAAGTTAACAGCGTTAATAAGAGATAATACTGTTTCTAAATTTGTCTCCTCATGGCAACCCTTCTCAGATTACATGCTTGTGGGAACAAAGTGAGGTTTTGAATGTGGGCTTTAATGATTAGATGGTTTGTGTTGGTAGAAATAATGTGAATTTGGATTAATTAGTGGTAAGAGATTAACTTTTTTTGGCTTGGGAACTAGGGGTCAGTCTGGAGAGATTGATGTCGGGTTCAGCCCAAAGAACTCCAAGAGACAATGCAAATACAGTTCTGTTGCGTTTATTAGCTACAACCTCCAGACAGAAAA